CCGCAGGATTATCTTCAGCGTATCTTCGCTCTTCTTCTCGTTCAATTGCATTAGGTAGCCCATAAGAGAAAGATGTGTGCTCATTTTCAATCAAAAGGAAATTGTGAATAAGACAGCATGCCATTAGGAGTGCATTGATGCGTTTCATCGAGCGTTTGTCTCGCAACAGAAGTTGGCATTCTTTGAGCATCTGAAATCTCGATTTCAGCATCCCATTGACATGTTCTATGACCGTTCGTGCCTCACTAAGTAACTTGTTGAATGAATTCTTGAGACCAGGAAGATCGCAGTCGGCGTTTCTTTTGAACAGAGGTACCGTGCACTTTGAGGCGCTATAACCTGAATCGGCCACAAGGTACTCACCCTCGGTGAAGTGTTGACCAGGTTGACACCACAGCTAACAAAAACCATCAGCTCCTGATTTCATCAAACATAATTATTGAAAAATTACTGAGGAAGTCCTGAGGACTCTTTGGTCATGAACACTTCCGCACCAACCATGGCGCGCAAAAGTGATCCGGCGACGATGATCGCAGACAATCATTGAGTTCAGTCCGTAAAAGTACTTACGAGTCCAATAGTCTTCCTTGCAAGTAACCGGGCCAAAAGCTAATGGGATCAGAGTCCCATCAATAAAACCAACACAACCCTCCAAACCGGGATGTTTCTCAGCGATTTCATTGCTGATCTGTGCTCGTTCTAGCTGGGATGGCCAGCTCAGGTATTCTGCTTGTAATTCGAGGATAGCCGCCACACATCGCCACGTATAGTTTTCAACGCTACCATCTAAAATCGAAATAATAGAGGTGAATAAACAAGACGTGCGAGTGGGAAGATACACTCGCACTCACCTGAAACACCTAATAAGTTCCCTATGAGTGAAACTTGTCCGCCATTCCCTGACAACCCCATATTTGCTAGAGCAACCATGAGTTGCAATTCAATCCGTGCTTGAGGATTACTCAAAGTGTTTCTGAACACATTACTATTTTCAATTTTACGCAAAAGGGTGACAAAGTTGTCCTTTTTCATTCGTGCCTAATCACATCATCGAAACAGACATCAAAATGAACCAAAGTTAAAAAAACATTTTCAAAGATTGGAAGTAGACCAAAGAGATACTTACCACTTTGATGAACATCACTTCGGGAGCGTTCATCATGTTATTGAAAAGCTCTTGTGAGCGATCTCGTTCACGGAGAGTCCTCGAAGCCAGGTATCGGCGATTTTCGACAGACTCCATTTCCGCCAACCAAACCTCGACATCTGACTTTTTGGAATCAAAGTCCTCGCCGTGTCGACTGCTCCTACTTTTCAGCATGAGACCTAACGTTAAGCGGTGGATTGGTTGAAGTGGAAGTACTGGTAATAAATCTGGGATGAGGAGTAGAGTTGATAATGGTATTGAGGCTCTTGAGGCACGATTTGCTGAAGGAACGAGGAGATGATTGTCTGAGGGGTGAGCTAGGAGGTGATGTGAGACTACTTTCAGAGCTTGTAGTACTTGCCGTCGAGCTGAGACTCGTGGCATGTTGGTGAGCCAGATCGAGTCTTTAGAATCTGGATATCAGAGGACTCGAGGTGCTCTCAAATCTCCCCAGAAGTGTCAAGAAGTGACATCCAGATACTTCTGGGAGATGTCCCAGAAGTTTCTGGATGTCGGTTCTTGACACTTCTGGGACCCAAAACACGAGTTTTGAATACCCCTATTATTAAATTCTAAAATTCTATAAACCAGATCCAGTAAATATTACTCTCATCAACTTGCTCAAACTTTCAAAATGGTGGTATATAATTCTAGCTTCTAAAATCCCACCAGAGCAATCTGACTTTTCCTATGAAACACATCTAGTAGTACCATAAAAACCTCAGCAGATTTGCATATTTCATCAAAAACCTTTTTGCAGATTGGAGCTTATCAAATTTGATTTCCAAAAGGATTCATCTACAAGATTTATGGAACACAGTAAAACATTTCATAATCAGTCAAAAGATCAATCTATGATCCTGTCACTATATTTCCTCAAATCACACCTCAAAAGAATAAATACCACTCCCCTCTACT